GCATGCTCAATTGATGAAGAAAAACTTTTATTTCTTTTAATTCCAAGTGTAGAAGTATTTTAACTGTAATGAAATATAATCAGAAAATTATTGATTTTTGCATTATTTAATAGTATCATTCCAAACTTTTATACATCCTTTATGCTCCATCCTTACTTCTGCAATAAGGTTTTGGATATATAGCAAACCGGCTACCATTGAAGTACATCCAATTAATTGAGTAATTAGATGTACATTTTGAATTTGCTGAATTTTATTATTTAATAGTAATCATCAGACCATGAAGTAAACTTATTGCAAATTATGTGAGTCAATCTATATTATTCATCTGTTCTGCCTTACATCCCTATTTAATCTTTCTAGCTGTGCAACTTGCAACTCTAACACATTCTATACATTCAGTTATACAATTTGGAGATATTCATTTGAAGTTACCAATAAAATCTTAATCCAAACTAGTGCATGATCCATAAGATAAGATCAAAATATTCACATATTTTGCAATCCATATACAAGGACAATCATTATAATCTATGCTAATGATAAAATAACAGCTTATTATTGGATTGATTTTTGTATCTATATACCTTTGAATCATTCAAGAAAATTTACAATTGTTACTGTATTATAAATATTTATGCTTTTTTAGAGATCTTATAAACAATATTATGTAATTTGATATTTCTATTTGTCATAAGTTGATTTGTGAATTTATCAATATTTTTCAATAAATTTATTTTTCGAAATACTTAGGTTAATCAATCATTAAGTTTGTTATGATTAAGCAATTGTCCTCAAAATTTGCTTATTGAGAGTTGTATTTTAAAAGTAAATTTTCATTTTGTTCCAGATTTTTCAATTGGGTTTAAAGCAGGAGAATATGGTGGCAAAAAAAGTAATGAAATGCTTGAGAAATTTAGAAAATGTTCGACTATGATGGATAATATGTTTCAATCCACTTCCAATTAATTATTCTATCTTCTCCTTAAACTATTTATTTTATGAAGAGGGATTAGCAAATTATAGTTAAGAATTTACCAATTATTTATTTAATGAACAGTCAACTGAAGCATAACTATTAATATTAAATAGATGATTATCTTGGATCTTTTATAATCATTTATTTTTAATATTGATAAAATTCTAATTCCTTCTTTTTAGTCTTCTTTATTATAGCCTTTAGAGCTCTTAACTCCATTAAGACTGAGATTTAATCAGACCCTTTTATGTCATTTTATCTAAAATTATTAAACACTAAATTAAGAGTTATGGGTATAATCATTATAAATAATGAATTCAAAGGTAATATATAGAATGAGACATTTTACTATCTACATCAATAGTTCTGGATTCATATTGAAATTTATAAGGGTTTCTGTAATATCTTGAAACTGCAGGTAATTTTAATCTTGAACTGCAACGGCAACTGAGTAGATTTTAATTGAAGTATTTTATGCCATTATCATCTTTTTGGAAATTGTTCAAATTATTAATCATCTATTTAAGATTCTCTTATGCTTTAGAATTGCGACAAGAGATAAATCGAAAAGAAGCCTGAGACTTCTCCACTACAAATGCTGCTCTTACTATGGAATCGAGATTGTTAATATAATTGGCAATTTTTGATGATGCTCGATAATTCTTATGTGCACCAAGCTGTTTGTATCAGAAAAAGAGTTTTTAACCTTCAAGTTTTGGTTTAATTGAAATAGTGATTATACTTTTCTATAGGGTTTCTGGCTAATATTATGCTGTTTATTAATTGACTTTTTAAAGAATGTCTCCGTCATGGAAGTTGGCAACTAAGGTGAATCGATTAAGTTCTAATTTATTTGAGACATACATGAAATAATATAATTATAATGATTATCTTGTAAAAATAAGTTATATGTCAGATTATAATTATACAGTTTCAATGACCATGATAATACATTAATATATCGATATATATTAATAATGGATAAAAGAATTTAAAAAAGAAGGTTGATAATTCTGATAGTAGTGATTTGCAATAACTATTAGAGATATCTAAGAAATACAAGTAAAGAGTATTATGACATAATTAAAAAAATCAACCTAGACCAGAAAAGTAGGAAATCCCAATATTAAAAAAAGTGGAGCCTCCTGAACTTCCACCTCAACCACCTTAACCAACGATTTTGCCATAATTTAAAACTTTCAAGAAGAGTGAGAGTGGAGCATATAAGGTACCTTAAAATCTACATAACAACTATCCTCATGAAGTGTATGTAATTGGATTAAAATAGTCGACTTTATTTGGGAAGTCTACCAGATAATTAATTACATTAGACAATAAATGGAATCTAATGGAGCTGTAATTGATCCTGGAGATCCAGTGATACAAGTATAATTACAACTGGGTTAGAAATATTGTTTTGTGTAATTCAGAAGTATAGAAGAAATAGAGGCTGCATTATAAATAGAAACAATTAATTATAAAGGGAAACAACTTAAATTCAAGAGAGTTAAAGATTATAAAATAAGTTCACATATTAAGGGTGAAAGGGAAGTGCCAAAGATTCAACCAAAAGGGCCTGCTAAGAATATATTTGTTTGTGGATTGGCATCTGATACTGATAATGAAATTTTGGCTAATATACTAATATACTAAAAGAATATGGGAGTTTGAAATCATTTAATGTAGTTAGAGATATAAAAAATGTTTGTAAGGGTTGGGTTTTGCATTTTGTGAATTTGAAACTGATTTAGAAACAATGGATTGAATAATAAAGTTATTGGAGGTAGATTATTATAAGTTAAGTAGAATGCTTAATTGCCTACTCCAACATACGATTATATTATTGATACTATAACATTAGGAGAATAATCAGCATTTGAATCTAAATTATAATAAATTAATTAAACGAAAGTAAGTAGTGTTGCAGTTAGAATTAAAAATATTGAAGATGATTATGAATATAATTTTATTGTTAAAGATTAAAAAAAAGAAATTGAAAAAAAAAATAGGTAGATTATATGTATGGTTTTATCAAGAAAGAAGGATGGTTATTCTGAAGAAATAGAAAGGTTTTTGTTAAATTTGAAAATGAATAATTTGCTAAAATTGCTATCATTTTATAATAAAATAAAAGTTTGATGGAAGACAAATAGATATTTCTTTATATATATATATTAATAAGACTAACTCAATGAGTCAACAGATAAGTTAAATTTGAATAGAACAAAAGCCAGTCTCGATTAAGGTATCATCACTTATATTTTTCTAGGTGAATAATTCTAAGTATGTAGTTAATGATTGAAAATATTTAAATAGGAATAAAATTAGTGATCTGAGTATTTCCCAATTTCATATTACTACATTACTAATTTATTGTTTTAATTGTATTATAATGATGAAGCATTAAATCTTTTGACTTGGCCTTATAAATCAACACAACCTATGAAAGTGGCTATAATAATAAAGGTAGTTTATTTTACTCATAATAATAATTTTACAGAAGCTTTATTATTCTTGGTGTTGCCTCAATGCAAATAGAAATAATTAATGCTAATATATAGATACTCTTTTTTAAATAGAGACAGCAATAGATTCGAAATCCAAAGAATGATTTAGCATATTCTAATCAAGATTATAAATTTATTTTGTGATGAAAATTAATAAAAGAGAATAAAAGTACTTGATTTGGTTTGAGATTATAAATAGAAGGTACTAGTCTCACAGAGAGGTATTAAATTCTGAATTTTATTCCTTTTTCAGATTTGGTAATGAGAATCCAGATTAACTTTGTCTTAACTTTCAAATTTGTAAAGATCTGAATATTTAGAATTAATTCTTCAGTGTTTATTTAAATTTTGTTACTAATACAAAATCTTGACTTTCTTATCTACTGAGAATAGTATTTCCATATAATTATTATTATGAATAATAAATTAGCTAATTCCTATTTTGTCCCTAAATAATAAATAATAATTTTCATAAAAAATAACAATACTAATGATAGATGTTTAAAAATATAAATGAACAATTTTACAATGTTTTTAATTAATAATTTTATCGATAAAGAATAAGTGCTTAAATGAAATATTATGATGAAGAATAATTTATTTTTGTTAATATATATCATAATCAAAGATTCAGCTAAAAACTGATTTTATTTTGATAATTTTGTATTACTATTTTATTTGTAAATAAATTTGTCTTTATTTATTCTTAAGTTAACCAAGTTTAATTAACTTATTTTTAAATTCCTCTAATAAAATCAAAAATCATCCATTTTCTTCTGTATTCTTAATTAATATTATCTTCATTATCACCTTGTCCTTATGTAGGACAATTAATTTAATAAGAAATATGATAAGCTTGATTTTATGAATCATAATAATAATTAGACTTTTAAAATTACTAAGTAAGATGTTTCTTCCTAATTAATTTTCCTAGTGAAATATTAATTAAAAGAAATTTTTGTTCTTTAGAATCTGCTGCCACAACATAAACAGGCTTTTTAGATATGAGTTTTGGATAATAATTTTCAAAAATGTAATTTTTTATAATTTTACAATTTTTTTTGATTCTGGTAATAATATATTAACCTTTTTAATTAACAATTAATGCTAAATAATCAACAAGTATATAAAGATGAGTATCATGATATTCAAGAAATTAATAGAATTTTGAATTAATATTATATTTCTATCTTTTTGATTTATCGATATTGTAATTTTCAAAATTAAATGATTATTAATGTATTGTACCTAAATGTGTCATATAAAAAAAACAAATTAGATTAATCATCATATTCTATTCTTAAAATTGGTTAATTAATTTAAAAGTATAAAACTTTTTAAATTCTATTTTTAAGATCCAAAAACAAATATTTGGATATTGATTATTCACTATCATTTGTAATAATTATTAATGCAAAATTACCATCTTTAGAGAATTATGGATTTTTATCTCCTAAAAAATTAGATCTATAAAATAATTTTTATATCTTATGATTGTAAATATCAATAATAATGAGTCTTTGTGATTCTTTTTTTCTTAAATTTTAAACATTTACACATATTAAAATAAATTAATGATTTGGAATTATCATTATACATGAAACATCAAATAATGAATTACATTCTTCTTATGAATCATTTTAATCATTAAGGTCTAAAATATCATCTATCTCATAGTTTTCTATATCTATTTTTACTTCTTCTCCTTTTTCATTAGAATAATAATAATTAATATTCAAATCATCTGGTCCATCATAATTCTACATTTCATCTTCTAATAATTAATCATATTCTATCTAGCAATCCTCCACATTATATTCTAGTTTATTTTCATTTGTAAATTAGAATTTGAGTTCTATAGTTCTACAAATTGATTAAACTTATCTTTGATCTTCCATAAACATCTTCCAATACTCTTTATAAGATTAACTCATTAAAAAAGCTTTATTTATTAATAATAAAATAGATATAATAAGAGTGTTTTTAAATTCTAAAATCTTAATTCATTTACTATCAATTATAATTAATTAAATCTAATTCTATATTATATAAGACACAAATTTCTTAGAAATTTGAAGAGATTCAAAATATATTAAAACAATTATAATATTAAGGATATTAGATGCATTATGTTCTATGCAATATATTTTTACTTTATGAGATTAAGAATTGGAGATTAAAGAGCGTGCATTAGACTTTATTTTTATTCTCTATTCTTTAATAAAATGATTATTAAGAAGTAATATTTAAAACAATACAGATTAATCATGCTAAAAGCCTGAATTATTAATATTACTTCCAGAGATCGAGGAGAATAAACTAATAATGCCTTGTTTCATAGTCAGGAAATCTTACTCAGCACTTTCAGAAGTCCACAGAATGGATTTTCAATTGTCTATATTCTTTCCTTGTATCCAAACAAAAAGGTTTATTCTATAAAGCCTAACTATTCCTAATTTTCTAATCCTATTTCTCAAATTCCATTTTTTTCTAGTATAGGTAAGATAATTTTCTTGAAGACAAGTAATCCATTTGGATGACAGGGTAGTATTCATCACACACTGAAAAATATAAAATATTAGTAAAAAGGAGGAGAAATCATGGTGTAGTTATATCTAAATCTTCTCTTCTTAATATATTCTTTCAAAAAAAATTTCCGTATCTTTTTGTTTAGAATTTATCTAAAATTTTCAAGAGAACCATAATTTCAGGATCAATAATTAGTACAAAAAATCCAGCATAAGGGTTATCAAACATCTGAATTAGAATTCTGAAATTCAAACATTTCTAAGTTTATGGTGCAGGAATTAACCGATAAGATCCATTTTGGAAGACCAAATCTAGAGTCAAATTTTCTAAGAAAATACACTTCTTTGATAACTAATTTCCAACAAAGTCTTAAAGGCGAAGAGCTGATAATCACTATTTGCAATTCTCCAAATAGAATGCGAGATTCAAAGAATTTAAGCCTGTATTATAAATAAATTATTAATGCCTCTTTTCTTTGCATTAATTATATTCTCAAAATGCAGTCTGTTAATATGTTGTAAAATTTAAAAGAAACTTTTATTTTTCATCAATAGTATTCTGTTCTGAAAAGTAATAAAACTTCATATTTGTAAATATAATATGTTATAATTGGACAATTAATTTTATATATGTGTCTATTTTATTCCTAATAGATCATCATAGAGTTAAGAAAGTAATTTAAGTCCTGATTTAGTCATGTTAGTCAGGGTTTTGTGTTAAGATTTCTCCAACAAGAATCCTAAGAAAATAAGGACTTTAATTATTGTAAATTGCAAAGGTGCTGAAATTATTTATGAATCAATTAAGAAAAATTAAAAGGGTTTTAAAGATAAATACTACTCACTTAAAAGAGAAGAACATTTATTTTGTATAAGATAAAAATAACTCAATGAAGTATTTCTAAATCAATATATTATCAAAATTAATTTAAAAGGCTTCAACTAATTTTCAAATATCTGGAATTTATAACTTATATATCTTTTATATTTAGAGCATATTCTAAATATGTACTAACTAATCATTGTATTTATAAATTATGTAATTTCTCTTAGAAATTTATGAATATGAATAATTTGATTAACTTTAGAATTAAAATAAAGTATTGAACTTGAGGAAAAATGTATATTATTTAATATTATTAAATAAGATGAAATTAGTAATTTCTATATAAAATGAATTTGTAAAACTAAATAAATATTTTTTACACTAGAAATTTAGATTGTATAAATTTTAAAATCTATATTTTAAGATACTATTTTCTAGTAAAAGCAGCACATTTAATATTTTAGAAAAATTGTATCTGTTTTAATCTCTCTAATAGTAGGATTAAAAGATAGTGATATTGATGAATAAAACCCTTCGACCTGAAGATTTATAAAGTATTAACATCTAAAATAAGTTTTTTTGACATTATTTTGGCTGTTATTGGTATTTTTTTTCCTTAGAAATTTTTTGATTTATTGGCTAATTTCAATTCATAATTAGCTTTAAAATGATTAAAATTTTTCATTTATTAAGACATAATGTATTGAAATTTTAAATATCTACTTTTTATAAAAGTTAATTAGTTAAACTGCTAAATGATAAATTTTGATAAGAAGTGTCATATATTGGAGTCAGGAATATATTTTGATTAATGGTGAAATTCTGTCAAAGTTTAATAGATTCCTATGGGCCAAAATTACTCATTTTCACAATTCAAAATATATCAATATACACTATTAAAGTGTAGAGATATTATTTGGAAAAGTTATGTATCATTCTAAATCCTGATGAAATCATTTTAATTCTAAGAATTACCAAGGCAATTGTTTGATCATTAAGCAGGATGAATTATCAAATCATAGTAGATGACTTCTTAATTTTCACAATAAATTGGATTTTATGTACTTAAAATATGCCCATCTGATGACTGTTTTAAACTAAACTCTTCCGTCTTTTATTTCTTCCAAAATAAAATTGATATTCTAATTATTACTAATTTGGAGTAAGTGTTTTCCAAATTTTTCATTTTACCCAATCTTTAGCTATAAAATTAATTTAGATTCCT